ATGTGGGATTTCTATCTGACATTAAGCATTGGCTAGCGACACAATTCCAAATGAAAGATTTGGGAGAGGCTCGGTTTGTTCTTGGAATCCAAATTGTTCAGAATCTTAAGAACAAATCACTAGCATTCTCTCAGGCATCGTACATCGACAAAATATTGATTCGATATAAGATGTAGGACTTCAAGAAAGAATTATTATCTTTCAGGCATAAAGTTCATTTGTTGAAGGAACAAAGTCCTAAGAAACCTCAAGAAGTTGAGGACATGAGACACATTCCCTATGCATCAGCAGTCGGTAGTCTGATGTATGCCATGCTGTGTACCCGACCCGACGTATGCTGTTCTATGGGAATTGTCAGCAGATATCAATCCAATCCGGAACGTGCTCATTGAACTGTCGTTAAGAATATCCTCAAGTATCTTAGGAGAACGAGGGACTATATGCTAATGTACGGTGCTAAGGATCTGATCTTTAGCACCGTACACTGACTCAAATTTTCAGACCGATGTAAATTCGAGGAAATCGACATCAGGGTCTGTCTTCACTCTGAACGGAGGAGCAATAATATGGAGAAGCATACAACAAGGTTGCATTGCTGATTCCACCATGGAGGCTGAGTATGTTGCTGCTTGTGAAGCAGCGAAAGAATTTGTATGGCTTAGGAAGTTCTTAACTGATTTGGAAGTCGTTATAGATATGCTTCTTCTCGTCACTCTTTATTGTGATAACAGTGGAGCAGTTGCAAATTCAAAAGAACCAAGAAGCCATAAGTGAGGAAAACATATTGAGTGCAAATATCATCTCATAAGGGAGATTGTGCAACGAGGAGATGTGATCGTCACACAAATAGCTTCAGAGAACAACATTGCTGATCCATTTACAAAACCCCTCACGGCTAAAGTGTTTGAATGGCACCTAGTGAGTCTAGGACTACGAGTTATGTAATCTAGGGCAAGTGGGAGAAAATGCATGAGTATGTGATGACCTAGTTTATTGTATTTATGTCTTTCTCTCTACTCAATGTTATAAAACCCCACTAGAGTTTTAGTCCAAGTGGGAGTTTGTTGGGTTTTATGTCCTAAAACTCATGGTTTGTAAACAAAAACATAAACTATTTTCAATAAAGTTATTATTGTTGTTTATTCAGTAAAGATTGTTATTGATTAAAGTAAACTTTATGATCATTAATCTAAATCCAATAAACTAAGAACACTCTGGCTATAGTATGATTACGTGAACTATATGTAGAGACATAAGAGTTGATCAAGTTCAAGTATATAGTCAAAATGATCTATAGTATAAGGATAAGGCTGAGTACCTTATTCTGGGGACACTATGGATGCGGCTCACTTTTGTATATGATATAAACAATGTGAACACATAAATTGTACATGTGGAGACATGTGAGTGGAGGCGTCCTATGCAATGAGTATTGCATAAGATCGGACCATGAGAAAAATCACTCTCACTTTATAATGTCGTTTACTGTTGAGACTGATTTTCTTTTCATTCGATGACCTAGGTAACTCGATCTTAACCCTGAGCTAACCATGAACTCCTGTTTATTCGAAATTATCCTTAGATTTGCATGAGTGAGAGTGGCTCAAGTTCGCCGACTCAATAGGCCTCTCATTTCAGGGGTAAGACTGGGTAAATGACTGGGGACGTGGGGTGCAAGATGAAATTCACTCCTACCAACTTTTAGGGATAGAAGAGAGGTAGTTCCCTTAAGGATAATTCCGTGATGGGATAGGGGTATCCCCCAAATGCATGAACACAACCATCAAATTTTTAGGTTGGGTTAGATTCTCGTGTTTATTTGTTAAAATTTAATTCATAAAGAAAACTATTTATTTATTTTCAAATATTTAATTAAGTTTTACAACTTAGTTTCAATATATATTTCTTAAAATAACGGTTAAAAATAATTAGGAGGGTTTAAGAATAAACAATAAAAAGATAATTACAAATTAAATATATATATTGAATTAAATTTTAAAACGGTTTAGTTCCCAATTTGTAGAGAGATCTGGTGAAAGAAACAAATATGAGATGAGTGTAAACAGTTTTTTTTTTTCTTTTCTAAAAATTATTAAATGATTTCTTTAAAAAAATAAAAAATTAAATGATTAAGAAATGCCTAATCAATATGACAATGCATAGTTGAATGGAAGAACCAAGAAGGAATAAGGAATCAGGAAGCTTTGAACCTGATTGCATCAATTTACGCAACTAACGAAGTAAGGGCTAGGAAGATGAACACCACAATTTTGAGATTTCTCAAGCTTTGTCCCGCCATTCTTTTCTTCTCTTATTCCTTGCTACAACGGAATGTTTGTTTCTTCTCTTATTCCTTGCTACAATGGAATGTTTGGATATCAGTTCCCCATTTTATATCTGTGAAACGCCTCATCTTTGTAACGTCTTCTTGATTTCCTTGCGATTTCAAGGAAAGAATAATCACGTTTTGTAACGTCTATACTGGCCGTTCTTGATTTAAAAGGAAGTTGTTTTATTTTATTCTTGTCTAGTCATGCGGTTAACATTGGTCGATGGACGTAAATTATACTATTCTTAAAAGTAACCTATTTCTTAAATACAAATTTAAAGCATGAGCATAACCAACTTAGTATTAATTATCTTTCATAATCTGTATAAAAGGTAGGAATTTAGGTGTACTATTGTTATACCTCTTTTCATATGCGAGAAATTTAAGATGATAAACGCAACGATTAGCATGTAGTATAACCCGGTTTATAAAATCTTGAACTGGAAAGCTTAAGTTTTATACTGTTTGATTATGGTTTTTGTGATGGTTAAAGATTACCGTTTAATTGGTGGTGTGAAATTCAGTTGTTGATTAGCATAGTCTAAGTCATGAGAATGTTGAACCGTGGGAGGTCTTAAGAGGTTCTTGATTCTTGGCTAAGGTAACTTACTCGCTTCTTGTTCCTTCGTGGCCCTAGACTACTCTTCATGGTAGACCATAAAGGTCACTAGCTCGGTGCATACTTAAATATGTCATCCTGCAAATCTTTTTGGTACCCATAACTTCTCTTCTAGGTGAGGGAAACTTGAGGCCAAACATGACATCCTGCAAAGGAAACATGGTGCAGGTCATCCCACCTAGAAGAGGAATTCTTGGGCCTTAGAAAGCACCGCTTGATGCGAGGTCATAGGTCACTTTGGGCATGGTTAGAGTATTACCTAGCATTCTTGTGTTTTTTAGTTTGGGGACCTTGGTCCCTCGTCCTTGAGTGGTACCTAGCATTCTTCTTACTTGGGTAGTTGTAAAGCTTGTGTGGTGTTGTTCTTGGTCCTCAATCTTGTAAGTTTCTAAGGTTCATAATTTCTTGGGGCATAAGTTGTAACTTTCATTTGTAATCATATGAACCCATCTTAGCGTAAGTTGTTCTAGAAGGTCATAGATTCCTAGGGAGTTCTTTCTACCCATATCCTAACCATATTCTTTTATCAATCTCTCATATCCATAGCACTTCGAGGCGTAACCTAACCTTAATGTTTCGTGAATACATCTTACTTCTATCGTTACATTACATTTAGTGCATCCTTCTCGTATCATATATCAAACATATCATTGAACACATCACACCATAAATATTATCATACAATTCTCATATTATAGCATAACATAAACATAATATAAGCATATTGATTCACAGATAATTCACACATATCAGTATATATGACACGTGCAGAACCACAGGCACGTGTCAACATCAAATATAACCATGCCGATAGTAAGGCCACTTACCTGGTTAACTTAAGTTTTTGTCACGAATATATCCTTAATGAAAGTTCGATTATGTCCTTTGAAATCCGTAAACCTATTTGAGCCCATGACATCAATTTCAAGTTTGAATTCTATAAAATTATTACTTGGGTCTACTCTTATATTTACTTTTTTATGTATTTAGTTTATGTTTTAATTACAGAATCTTCCTTTTTTTTAATGGGTATTTACTCTGTTGCCTTCTAATTTTGTTCTCATTTATTCCAAATTTATAGTGGATCCCTATTTCCAAATCTTTCCTTATCTTGGTGTTTCCTTTTGTTCACAAATTTTCTTGGTCATTTTATTTTTAATCTATTCATTTGCTACGGATATAAATTTAATCTTATATTACTAATATAACGTGATTTACTAGAATTCGTATAAATGACTAACATTTAGTTTCTAACTCAAAACTAAACGATTATAATAATTTAATGAAAATCTAACTATAATTGGCTATGATTTCTTAAAAAAAACTAAAAAGAATAGGATAAAAGAAAACGAAGATTTAATATATACCTTATTGTTCAAATCTATCTTCACTTAAATCTCCCATGAATCTCAACTCCATAAAGGCCATTTTCATTTTTTTTATAATTATTTTTATTTCTTTATTTCTTTATTTATTTCATTATTTATGATTTTTTTTTTGGGCTATTAGAGCAGAGTTCATCTAGTCACTTATTTTAACGTTCCCTAATTCCCGAGTATTTTGATCGATTTAGGGCCTTAACTCATGGTTCTTTGAGCTTTTCTTTCATATATCCGAAATTCATACTTGTTTTAGGGTTCATATGGAAATCCAAGCGATTCCTACAAGTATTTCTTAACGAAAAAGTGCAAGGTGGCTATTTACCGCGTTGTCGACGTTCGGGACCTCTGTTCATGATCTTCCGATACCTGAATTACCTTCAATTTTCTTCCACAGACTTCTTATTGTGTCTAGTTTCTGGAACCATAAAGATTTTTCTGAGAACCATTCTAGAATAGGGTTAAATTTTAGAAAAATCGAGGGGTCAAGTTTTTGGTTGACATGGCCGGTTCAATTGAACCGGCCACGTCATCGTCTTCTTCCTCCCGATGGGAAGAAGACATGCGTGATCTTTCGCGCCGCCGTCTGAAACTCGCCCTCCCCAGCTCCGATCACGCCGTTTCTCCCCTCGAGTTCTTCATGAAACTTAAAGAGGGTATTACAAGGAAGAGCTATGGATTGATTTCATACCTTTTCGTGGATCGTAGCCTTAGATATTCGCTTCCAAAGTTCGTCCAAAATATAATTTCTCGCTGGAGTAAAAATAAAGGATTTCTTATTCGGTAGCCGATTCTAAGGGTTTTCAAGGCTCGATTTCTTCATGGAACTTCTTCCTTATTCTTTCCTCAAGCTTAAGAAATTGGTTTCGAGGAACAACTTTGAGTGTGGGACCTTAATTTGAGAAATCACTCTCGGTCTGCAAGTTACATGACACCTTCGATTTTCAATCTCTTAGGTATCTTGTTCTTAGACGTTTCAGCTCTTGATTCCTTCATCAAAGTTACTCATCTTTTTCCTCTTAAGCTAAAGGAATCCTTTATTTGAAGGAAAAGAGGTCATAGATAGGAATTCGACACTTACCCACAATTTGAACATGAAACGAATTTTCTTCAATTGGAATCGTTTCTGAGGTTATTTCTCTTCGTGGTCTTCAATGAAAACATTCCTTGAAGGTGCAGAAACTTATTGAGATTGTTCTTGCTCGACGAATTTTGTGTATCCTCTGATTTGAATTTTGAGTCTTCCTTGAAGCTCTTTAATGGCGGATTGGATTGGGGGAATGGTTTCTAGACACTTTCCGAACCCTATTCCTTCATAGCACTTGTGGGTAATATTGTTTAGAAACTAGAGGAACAAGTTTGAAAGGAAATGGTTGAGAATTGCTCTCAAATTTGGAAGAAACCCGAGAGTAGGAGACCCAAAATCTAAACGCTTATTGCCTACGATTGGGAGCTCTCCCTTGCTTGACTCTTATTCCAAACTATTGCCCCAACTACAGAATTTATAGGGAAAGCATAAACCGGCATTGGGAGCTCTAAAATCATCGTGAATTATCGGTTGAATTTTCTAGAAAATTCGTCAGAAATATCTACTCCGATCACAGCCTCACCGACTCACCGACTTTGGTTTTGAATTCTAGCTGTTGGATGTGATGATCCATGAGTTTTCTGAATATATTCAAGTATGGGGGAGATTGAACGGCTGAGAGTCGAGATTTGAAGGATTTTGTGTAGAAGTCAAAGTGAAGGATCGGATTTTTAGCAGAATGACAAATCCGTAATTATCCTTAACTTTAGGTGTATTTTGGTAATTTTCCACTTTTCGAATATTTTATTATTATTTTTCCTCCAAAAATCCATAATTTCCATAAAAATTCTTCATTTCTTCTAGGTCATTTCTCACTAGCATTTTGAAATTCCCTCAAGATAAGGAATTAAAAATTAAAAATGTTACTTAGAAATTGGATAAACGACCTTTTTATCCTTTTCGCTTACCAAACTTCATTCTACGAAAATTTTTATAAAAGTCTTTTTCTTGATTGTATTTATTTATAAGAATCATAAGATGAAAAAACAAATGTCAGCCATTGATTCATAAGATGGTTGGTTCTTTCTCAACTTTATCTTATTCCATAGGGAACTTTATTATTATTAGTATTTTAAATATAAAAATTTAAGAATATTCTAATTTTAATTGATAAGAAATGACTTTGTGGTAATCGAGCATTCATATATAAATTCATAAATTTGTTTCTGGAAAATATTTTTGTTACACCCGAATAAAGAGGAGGTATATGAATGAAACGAGACACGATTTAAATGAGAGAAATTATAAAGATAAGATGACTAAAAAAAGAGTTACTATTTGTACCAATGAAGTGCTAAGTTGAGCTATTGTATATTGGGTAATGTAACCGTCCAAGTTTTCCACATTTTTATAAATAATGTTTTATTCCCATTTCTAACCATTCACATACCGTAACGTATGCATATCATATAATAGTCATATCGTTTCATAAACAATTCACATATATCAAATATATGGCACGTGCAAAACCACGGGGAACGTATTGACACAACATCAAATCTAACCATGTCGATAGTAAGGCGACTTACCTGATTTGCTCCTATGACATCTTTCTTCACATAAATCTGTTTCTACATGTAAATCTGAGTAATTGTGTATAGGTCACTTTCGTTCTTTAATCAATTCTTTGGCGGTATTTTATGGTAACAAACTGAAGACATCTCTCTTCACGTTAGTCTTCTTCTGCATGATGTAACTACGTGAAGTCATTTTTGTTCTCTCCATAATTCTGTACACATATATTCTTGGCCAATTTTTAATCGGTTCTTTTCTACAAGTAAATCTGCGTAACTGCGTACAGGCCATTTTCTTTCTTTAATCGATTATTTGGCGATCTAATATAAACCTTACTTAAAAAACTGACGACATCTCTCTTCATGTAAATCGGCTTCTATAGACGACATCTCATCACGTAAATCTGTTTCCATAGGTAAATCTGCATAACTGCATAAACGTCTTTTTCGTTCTTTATGCGATTATTTAGCGATCTAATATATCTTACTATAACAATATTTTCTTTCCGTTTTTTTTAATTTGATTTTTAGTTTATATTCCAACCTAACCATTTGAAAGGGTTTTGGCTCGAGGTCCTACATGGCTCTCTTCAAGCTTGTCTTCGATAATTGTGTCGCATCGTTCTCTCGAACTTTGTGTATGCCTCAACTTAGCTTCAATGCACACTAGGATTTTAAGATCCTAACTTCTGAGGTTTTGGCTCGAGGTCCTACATGGCTCTCTTCAAGCTTGTCTTCGATAATTGTATCGCATCGTTCTCTCGAACTTTGTGTATGCCTCAACTTAGCTTCAATGCAAACTAAGATTTCAAGATCCTAACTTTTGAGGTTTTGGCTCTAGGTCCTACATGGATCTCTTCAAGCTTGTCTTCGATAATTGTGTCGCATCGTTCTCTCGAACTTTGTGTATGCCTCAACTTAGCTTCAATGTACAATAGGATTTCAAGATCCTAACTTCTGAGGTTTTGGCTCGAGGTCCTACATGGATCTCTTCAAGCTTGTCTTCGATAATTGTGTCGCATCGTTCTCTCGAACTTTGTGTATGCCTCAACTTAGCTTCAATGCACACTAGGATTTTAAGATCCTAACTTCTGAGGTTTTGGCTCGAGGTCCTACATGGCTCTCTTCAAGCTTGTCTTCGATAATTGTATCGCATCGTTCTCTCGAACTTTGTGTATGCCTCAACTTAGCTTCAATGCACACTCAGATTTCAAGAAGTTTGGATTGAGTTTAGAACCTACAGGTACAACGTAATGACTAAAGGCCTTGAATGGTTAATCTTATGATTTAAGTATTTAAATGAATCGAAAAGACAACCTTTAGATAAGTTGTAGAAGTTAAGTTGTTAGATTATATGGATTTCTATGTAACAGTCTAGATCTACTGCTAGCAGATTTTGTCCTCTTTGGGCTTTTCCTTTCGGGCTTCCCCTCAAGACTTTAAAACGCGTCTGCTAGGGAAAGGTTTCCACACCCTTATAAATGTTGTTTTTTTCTCCTCCCCAGCCAATGTGAGACATCAGATTCTATTTCTATTGTATTGGAATGAGATCCTCGTTTCATGTCCATCTTTTGCGAAGTTTTAAGTTTTAAGGTGTACAAAAGTTTAGCACAACCTTTTACTCATAGATGGATGACCAAACAAAATGTTTGAACAAGATCTTAGAAGATATGCAAAGCGTTTGTATGTTGGATTTTCTTGGTAGTTGGACCTCCAACTTGCCGTTCATGGAATGCTCATATAATAATAGCTATCAGGCAATCATCGACATGGCAAAAAAGGTGCAGAATCTTTGCTTACTAAGATGAGGTAGTAAAACGCAAATTATTAAGCATTCTGTTAGTACAAGTTACGAGTAACGCTATCCAAAAGATTAGGAGAATGATATAAACAACACAAAGTAGATAAAAGAAGAGGTGTTTTGTGGTTTGGTAGAAAGAGTAGCTCATTTCATGTCAAACCATTTGAAATCTAAGAGCAAGTTGGGGTTAGTTACTTATTGCTTGGCGTTGCTCAGCCCTACCACCGTCCCTCTATCTCTCTCTCATACAGCTCTTGCACTGTAGTTCGTCAAGTTGTGCCTCAGCCTTCCACCTCATTAAATTCTCTAACTGCCTTCGATCAAGATACACCATTGTCACTAGACTCGATGAAAGTGTCGAACAGGTAGGAAATAGGTTTTACGAGCCAAATAATCTGTCGGAGTCGAGAAGCTATTGTCGGAGCTGAAGAGAGTCTTGTGCCAGATGCTTACATGTGGTGCAACCAGGAGCAGCTGCGTGTGCTAGCCGAAGTCAAGCCGAGGCGCGGGTCGTCGATTCAAGGCACGGGTTTTTGGGTTGCAATCGCAAGTCTGGGTCGATCGTAGTTGGACCTTGGGTTGGGTCAATCGGTCCGCCTATGGTGAGCACCGATTGGCTCATCCCTTCTGTCGGCGATGCGCTCCTGGCCTTAACTGGTCGGGTCGTGCCTCCAGCGCTGTTACTTTGTAGAAATTAGAGTGCTCAAAGCAAGCCTACGCTTTGTATACATTAGCATGGGATAACATCATAGGATTTCGATCCTATTCTGTTGGACTTCGGGATCGGAGTAATGATTAACAGGGACAGTCAGGGGCATTCGTATTTCATAGTCAGAGGTGAAATTCTTGAATTTATGAAAGACGAACAACTGCGAAAGCATTTGCCAAGGATGTTTTCATTAATCAAGAACGAAAGTTAGGGGCTCGAAGACGATCAGATACCGTCCTAGTCTCAACCATAAACGATGTCGACCAGGGATTGGCAGATGTTGCTTTAAGGACTCCGCCAGCACCTTATGAGAAATCAAAGTCTTTGGGTTCCGGGGGGAGTATGGTCGCAAGGCTGAAACTTAAAGGATAGATCATTGCAATTGTTGGTCTTCAACGAGGAATTCCTAGTAAGCGCGAGTCATTAGCTCGAGTTGACTATGTCCCTGCCCTTTGTACACATCGCCCGTCGCTCCTACCGATTGAATGGTCCGATGAAGTGTTCAGATCGTGGCGACATGGGCGGTTCGCTACCTGCGACGTCGCGAGAAGTCCACTGAAGCTTATCATTTAGAGGAAGGAGAAGTCGTAACAAGGTTTCCGTAGGTAAACCTGCGGAAGGATCATTTTCGATGCCTAAACATCAAACGACCCATGAACGTGTTTACAAACTTTTTGTGTCGGGGGGAGCATTCAATGCCCAAGCAAAAACTGGCGCAAGTCGCGTCAAGGATCTCAAATGTATAAGCTTTCCCCTTGTCCCGATCTCGGTGTGAGGGGGGCAAAGCATTCTTGTCGTATTATTCACAACGACTCTCGACAACGGATATCTCGGCTCTCGCATCGATGAAGAACGTAGTGAAATGCGATACTTTGTGTGAATTGCAGGATCTCGTGAACCACCGAGTCTTTGAACGCAAGTTGCGCCCGGAGCCTTCTGGTCGAGGGCACGTCTGCCTGGGCATCACGCATCGCGTCCCCCACATACAACAACCACTTAGGTTTGTTGCATTGGCGGGGGCACATGTTGGCCTCCCGTGTGCACCGTCGCACGAATGGCTTAAAATTGAGTCCTCGGCATCTGTTGTCGTGACACTACGGTGGTTGATTCAACCTCGGTATCATGTCTAGATCACAGCTTGCGTTCCTCCTTTTTGTGAGTGAGGGAGGGAGGGAGGAATCTTATGTTGACCCTTTGAACATTGTCCCCAAAGACGATGCTCTCGACGAGACCCCAGGTCAGGCGGGACTACTCGCTGAGTTTAAACATATTAATAAGCAGAGGAAAAGAAACTTATAA